CTTGGCGGCGTCATCTTGGAGACCCAAACAACGACGTCTGTTGTTGTGTGTGGTTGTGGGTGGTGCGTTTGGTGGTGGTGGTGGTGCGGCCTACTCAGGACCGAGGGTGGTGTTTCTTCTTCAGGTGTTTCTCTTCGGCTGTCCTATGTGTGGTCTCCGGCCTGCTTCTATGCATGCTCATGACCCTGTTCTGTTGAGGCAAGCCTCGGGCTCTTGGTCTCGTCTTGGTTCACCTTTGCTCAATGATGAAGCAATGACGCCTCCCCACCTTGCTAATCGTCTTGAACTTTCGTGGCGGAGCGCTCAGTCAAGGTTCGTGTTAAGCTTTGGCACAAGGTTCGTGTTAAGTTTTGGCACTCGTTGATTGTGGATGCTCCTCTGTTGTGCTGTGGGGTTTGATACACAGGCCGGTGCGGTGCGTTAGGCTGTTTGTAGAGTCTTGGTATTATGATCCCTCGACGCACCTGTAACACCCTCGATGCGACTATATCTCCCACGTGTCGAGGCACGACTTAGAGGCATAATCGCATTGAAGGCATACATCGCAAGTGAGGTAATCTTCACACAACCCATGTAATATAATAAGGGAAAGAGATTACATAGTTGGCTTACAATCGCCACTTCACACAATTACATGAATAAAGCATTACAAAAACCAAATACAATCAGGGCCCGACTACGGAGCCAAAATAAAAGAAGAACCCCAAATGCGACAAAGGTCCCCGATCGACGCCAACTGGGCTCCACTACTGATTAACTAGAAGGGAACAACACAAATGACAAGATCTTCATTGAGCTCCTCCTGAGCTTGGTTGCGTCAACTGCACGGTCTCATCGGCACCTGCAAGCTGGTTTTGGAAGTATCTGTGAGCCACGGGGACTCAGCAATCTCGCACCCTCGCGATCAAGACTATTTAAGCTTATTGGTAAGGTAAAGGTATGAGGTGGAGCTGCAGCAAGCGACTAGCATATATGGTGGCTAACATACGCAAAAGAGAGCTAGAAGAGAAAGCAAAGCACGGTCGAGAATCTATGATCAAGAAGTGATCCTAGAACAACCTACGTCAAGCATAACTCCAACAACCGTGTTCACTTCCCGGCCCCCACCGGAAAGAGACCATCACGGTTACACACGCGGTTGATTCATTTCAATTAAGGTCGACTTTAGGTTTTCTACAACCGGATGTTAACAAATTCCCATCTGCCCATAACCACGGGCACGGCTTTCGAAAGTTCAATCCCTGCAGGGGTGTCCCAACTTAGCCCAACACAAGCTCTCACGGTCAACGAAGGAATAGACCTCCTCCCGAGACATTCCGATCAGACTCGGTATCCCGGTACTCCAAGACATCCTCGACAATGGTAAAACAAGTCCAGCAAGACCACCCGATGCGCCGACATCCCGATAGGAGCTGCACATATCTCGTTCTCAGGGCAACACTGGATAAGCAATCCATACAACTAAAACAAGCCCTCGAGTTTCCCCGAGGTGGCGCTGCAAGGGGCTCTAGTTTGGACCAACACTTAGACAAGCACTGGCCCGGGGGGGTTAAAATAAAGATGACCCTTGGGCTGGCCTAACCCAAGGGAAAAAAGGCTAGGTGGCAAATGGTAAAACCAATGTTGGGCCTTGCTGGAGGAGTTTTATTCAAAGCGAACTGTCAAGGGGTTCCCATTATAACCCAACCGCGTAAGGAACGCAAAATCCGGGAACATAACACCGATATGACGGAAACTAGGGCGGCAAGAGTGGAACAAAACACTAGGCATAAGGCCGAGCCTTCCACCCTTTACCAAGTATATAGATGCATTAATTAAATAAGATATATAGTGATATCCCAACAAGTAAACATGTTCCAACAAGGAACAACATCTCCATGTTCCAACTAGGAACAAACTTCAATCTTCACCTGCAACTAACAACGCTATAAGAGGGGCTGAGCAAAGCGGTAACATAGCCAATCAACGGTTTGCTAGGACAAGGTGGGTTAGAGGCTTGGTTCAACAATATGGGTGGCGTGATAAGCAAGTGGTAGGTATCGCGGCATAGGCATAGCAAAAGAGCGAGCAACTAAGCAAGCAAAGATAGAAGTGATTTCGAGGGTATGGTCATCTTGCCTGAAATCCCGCAAGGAAGAAGAACGAGTCCATGAAGGAGTCAAACGGACATAGACGAACGGGTCCTCACAAACGCGACGTTACCGGAACCAACTCGAAGAACCAAACACCGGAAAAGAGCAAACAACCTAGTAAACAACCACCACATAAACATGGCACGATGCGCAAACAAGTATGATGCATGTCCGGTTTAATGATACATGGCATGGCAAAGTGCACAAGCAATCCTACAAATTAAGTGGAGCTCAATATGCAACTCCGTTGCATATTGACAAAACACCACATGCTTGTTTAGGTTCGATCTCGTTTATGTACCCAACAATATTAAATGTTGTTAGCATGGCAAGAGAGTGAAGCAAAGTAAAACTGCCTATCTAGTCAAGTTTAAATGAGGCCGGAAGCAACGAACAACAATTCCGGTAAATCCCCATAGCATATTTTAGATTTGGTACTGTTCTGCCCTCAACACAATTTTAGAGTTGTTTAACATGCAAATAAAGGTCACCATGTTAAACTAGGCATTTTTCTACCCCATTTACATATAAAGATTGTTAGGTTTGGAGCTACGGTTAAATAGTTATGAATTAAATCATTTTAGCATGGCATAGGAGCAAATTTACACAAACATCATTTTAGACATTTTAAACATGGATGAAAATTGCATATTATGAAACTAGACACAATTTTAAGCAAGTTTCATATATAACTCATTTTAAACCGATGCATGAATTGTGAGTTATTATATGCATGAACATGAGGGTCTTTTCTGTAAAACTGCGGTCTCAGGATAAATAGACAAATTCACAGATCCTGAAAAAAAACATCAACGGGCTGAATCTGGACAGGAAGCCCAACAAAGGAAAAAAAAGGACGTGCGCTGGGGTGGGCTCACCATGGGCCTCGGCCCGGCTTGGCAGAGGAGGCCAGCGGCGCTGGGCCTTGCGCGACACAGGGGAGCGTCTGGGTCGGCGGAGAGGAATCCGACCCACGCGGGAGTCAACGCGAGCGGGCGCGAAGCCCGTCTCCTCGAAGTGATGACGGCGGCGGCATAGTGCGGCTCCGGCGAGGGCGCCGCACGGGGAAACAACGACAGGCGCGGCCAGCGATGTAGGGAACGGGCAGATCCAGGCGAGGGGTCCCGGATCCGGTAGAGGCGAGCCCAAGAGGTGACCGGCGTCGACGTATGGGCTCCGGGGTCGGGCGGCCATGGCGGATCCTGCAGGGCGAGGGAGAGAGATGTGAGGTCTGGGAGAGAGATGAGAAGGAGAGGAAAAGGGAAGGGCACGGGGCGGCGAAGGGAGGTCCGGCCTGGGGTCAAGGTCACCGGCGGATGCTGCGGCGTGCTCCGGCGAACGAGGTAGACGAGGCGACGGAGCACAGGCGCTCGGGATCCTCCCCGCGGGAGGAAGACGGGGCGCTGGGGGCGGAGGCGCTTGGGCCCAGATCCAGCCCAAGGTGGGCCGGTTGCGGGCTCGGGCGGCCGCGCGGGGTGGAGGAGGCTGAGAGGCGACGTGGCGGGCTCCTAGTGGATGCAGGCGGCGGCGCTGGTGGCGGCTACCCACTCGGGCGGCGCCAAGTGGCGAAGCAGGGGTGGCCGGCGCCGGAAATTGAGGAGAGGAGGTGGGAGGCGGCTGGCTGATGATTGGGGGCGCGGATTTCGAGGAGGAGGAAGGAGAAGGCCAAAAATGGCAAGGGGGCTGCTATATATAGCAGGAGGAGCTAGGGTTGGGGGTTTTTGAATTGTTTCAGAGCCTCCGATCGTGATCTGACAGCCCGGAATGGAGGGGGGTTTAGGTGGGCTGCAAGTGGGTTGTGAAAAGAGGTTGGACTGAGATGAGAGGAGAGGAGTGCAGCCCGGCAACTGTTTCCGGAGACCAAAAACGTTCGACGTTAGACCGACTATAATGTCGCTATAGTTATCCGTTGGGGCGTCAAACGAACTCCGATTGCGATGAAACTTGGCAGGCGGTCTACCTACACTATAACAAGACCACACGTCAACTTTCATCCCAATCCGAGAACATTTTCCGGCCACTTATAAAATACTATTTCGGACATGCCGCGGGCGCGTGCAAGTGTGACTGGACTCAGAACGGACAACGGACGGAACTGGGGAAACCCGGACGGATGCAAGTTTTGAAAACATGATGATGCAATGCGGATGATGACATGACAAGATGCAACACGCAATCAAATGACAAGGCAACAACGGCGAATAACTGGAGGACACCTGGCACATCAGTCTCGGGGCGTTACAGCACCCCACATCTACCTGGTCGTGTTAGTATGCTAGTTATGTCTTGCCTTATGTTGGGCGTCTTGTTCCTCTCCTTTCCTTGTAACATTTGTTACTTGTCTGGTTTTCGGCTCGGTTTTCCTCATAAACGGGGTCAATTTGTTAAGGTTTTCGATCTGGTTTCCCTTATAAACTGGATCACTCTCCTGGCATTATGGCCACTTTGAGTAATATATTTAGATGGAGGGACTCCTCCCCCGGTGATTCTCAAAAAAAATACAATTTAATATGAAATGGTTTGCAAGAAGCGGCTAAGCAACAAATAACAATGTAAACCAGCAAGCAGGCACGGAGAAGCTTAGAGACAATCAAACATCACAGACAACCGCAGAATATCATACTCAAGTTTAAGATGATGATAATGCTATTAGTATATACTGTACATGCCATTGCCATTGGTTCATCGGCACCTCTTAACTTATAATACTAAGATACGCATATACACACACAAAGGTGGATCGCTAACATAGATGTCCTCCGAATCGATCATCTACTAGTGTAGACAGATAGCATTGGTAAAACCTCCTTCATCCCATTTAGTCAAATGAAATTACAAGATCAACAATCTCACACCAGAACAAGGCCATCAAACACCATGGGAACCCTCCCCTCCCAGCTTGCGGAACAAGTCGGTGTAAATCCTGAGCTTCTCGTCCGAGTCATCATCCGAGTCCTCCTTGGCCTCCTCCGGGTCGCGGCGCATGTAGGCGTATTCCTCAGTGGAATAGTCCGTGTACGTCAACCATGGATTGTCAGACTTGATCTTCTCGGATTCAGCGTTGTAGTCTGCGATTAGCCTGGCCATGAACTCATCGTGGTCCAAGCTCGCCTCTTCGTCCGAGTCGCAGTCATCGTCCGAGTCCTCCACCTCCTCCTCCGCCTTGGCCTGGACGGTGAAGGCCGCCTCCTCCTCTGTCTTGGCCTTGACGGTGAAGGCCGCCACCTCCTCTGTCTTGGCCTTGACGGTGAAGGCCCCCTCCTCCTCCTCACGGTCCTCCTCCGCCCTGGCCTTGACGGTGAACGCCTCCGCCTCCTCCTGGGTCGCGGTGAAGGGTGAACCCTCGTAGCCGGTGGCCATCGGCACGGAGGGCTGTAGCTTTTCGCCGGGATTGGTGGATCGGGATTCTCTAGTATGATCTCAAGAAAACGATTAAACGAACGTGGGGAGGAGGCGGCTGCGGCGGCTGGCGTATATATATGTCCAAGACGGCCGCGTCCTCGGACCGGACTCCACCAGACTCGTTCATTGGGCTGTGCTGGGCCCTCGTCACATTTTTCTTTCCGCTAGCTAGCTTGCTTGTGTTGCTCAAAAAAAACTAGCTTGTTTGTTGGGAAAGAAAAAAAATCTAGTTTTGCCCGCGGTTTTTTTTGGCTGGTTGATTTTTTCGCTTGATTTTGTTATTTCAAAAAGTTTCTATTGAAATAATTGCAGAAAAACTATTTAAGAATATTACAACTAACAATTTAATCACAATTCCCAAAAATTATATCGCAACCTCCGATGTACAGTTCCAGTGCCACAGCCTGCTCCAAGGCGGCAGGGTCCTTCGCCGCTGCTCATGACGAAGTGGACTAGGTAGAGGATTGAGGCCGTGGCCAGTCGGGGGAGCAGAGGCACGAGAAGGAGGTTGTGGCCCTCGTTCATTGTGGCCCTGCTGGCCATGGAGGAGGAGGTTGTGCGGCGACGTGAAGGAAGGGGAGGAAGAGAATGCGAGATGGTAAGGGGAGGGTGCTAGCACGGGAGGACGTGTGGACCGCGGCTAGGGTTTTACCATGGTGTCGTTGCTTTTTATATGCCAAAATGTAATAAATTTGCTCCGGTTTAGATGAAAGACATCTAGTTTTATATAAAAAATAACCAAGTATGAATGAAAATAGTTTGACTTGTTTAAATATGCATCAATTTTTAATTTCAATGAAATTCCGTTCGAAATGTCTTCGAACATTTGCGGCTACGATTTGATCGTCGGCTTTCATATATGTGTCCGCGAACTGGTCTCCCGGTCTACGGACGGATACATTGTCCAGTTTGAAGGTCAGCACTAAAGATGCCCTAAGGTCCTAAGCATTGAAGATGGCCTGGGCATGCATGTCGAGTTGAATAGCCATCGGAGGCATTGCCTCTCCGCATGGTCTTCTGATCCTGGCACCGGCAAAACAAGGCAATATCGTGGCTGGCAACCAAGCGAACCCCAGACAAGCAGCATGCTACAAATCCATCACCACTAGCTACCAGGACATCAGATTCTCACATATCGGCAGTGTACAATGCTACAAGATGGTCATAGATCTAACCCTACCACATACTCACAAATCTAGCTAGAATGAGTACTAAGAAGGGGGTGATTGAACTCACATACGCTATAGGTGCAACTCGAAGGAGACGCGGAACAGGTCGAAGAAGAGGGGGACATGAGTCGCCGCTGCTGTCTACCGCCGACCGGAGAAGATGCATCGTTTACCTGCTCGACGGTGCCGAAATGCGTTGGAGGAAAATCTCAAAATGGGTGGGGGTATGGTGGCGAGAGTTTGGGCAGTGAGGTGAAGGCTAGTATATAGGGCGACCGAAACGGCGGGAGGTAACCCCAATTCCTCCCACTGACTTTTCGAAGATGCGTGTGTGCTTGCATCATCTTCGCGGTCGCATGAGCTCGGCGCCGTCACTGGTGGAAAAAGGGCCTTTGGTCGCGGTTCGCAACTGCCATTAGTCGCGGTTGCGCAACCGCGACCAAACAGGCGCGACTAAAGGCCCCCCCCTTTAGTCGCGGTTGCTTAAGAACCGCGACTAAAGGCCCGTCCACGTGGGCGCCAGGCGGCCGTCGGGGCGGAGGACCTTTAGTCGCGGTTCTTCTGGCCAACCGCGACTAAAGGCCGCCGCAGGTTTAGGGTTTTAGCCCCCCCCTAAACCTGTTTTCTGTTTAATTTGTATTGTTTTATTTCTTTTGTGCTTTATTTTAATTTTGAAGAAGTTTCACATATTCTACGGTACTACATACATGCATATGAATGTACAATTTCAAACAAATTTGAAATTAGAACCAAAAAGAATTCAAGAGGAATATACAATATATATTCAATATCATCGGATGACCATATACAATTTTGAACAAGTTTCCATACATAATTTAATGCATATAAAGTTCTACGTCCTCGTAATGGTGTTCTCCTTTAGGATGGAGGACTTCCCTCCTGAACCATCCAGCTAGTTCCTCTTGAAGTGGTCGGAAGCGAGCTTCTGGACTAAGCATCATCCGGAGGTTATTCCTCTGAGCATTGGTATCACTCGGAACCCGCCGCTCAGAGGTGTATCTCCGGATCATCTCACAGACATAGTATGCACATAGATTGGTCCCCGCTGGCTGAATATCCTCACCATTCTTAGCCTTTGACCTTTTGAATTCTAGCTCTTTTTTGAATTCACCGACCTTTGTATCTACGAACCGTCTCCAAACCCTACGAGGCAAAGAAAATTAAATGAACAAGAGAGTTATTAGTTACTTGATATTAGGAAATGAACGAAATAGGCCGATCGATATAGAGCGCAAATGAATGAAAATGATTACTTCTGCAGCATTCTTCTCATGCCGCCCCAAAGCTTTGGATCCTTATTCAGAGAGTCGTGGACGAGACATTCTGAGGTGTCAACTTTAATTACTAGCAGAATCCAGTGGAACCTGCGGACACGATACATGCACAGTACGTCATGCATAACTCATCGATTAGCCGGCCACATACCATGCATGGAGTAAACAAAAGAGAATGTGCTCAAGACAGAAACATATGTGCTTCACCGTCCGGATCATAGTTGTCCATAATCGGGTCAGCTCTATCGTCCGCCATTATGTCAGTCCTGAAAACATGTAGTAAAAACAAATTAATTAAGTGAAGAAGGGGGGCGGTGGCGGTGGCGGTGGCGAAAGGGCGGTGGCAAAAGGAGGGGGCGAGGAAGGGGTGGGAGAGGGTGTCGCGGTAGAGCGCGAGACGGGGCGGCAGACGACGGCGTCACGGAGAGGGAGGCGAGGACAACACACATGTATAACCCTCGCCGCCCCCTCTCGATCCCTAAAAAAAACACCGCGCGCATCGCCGCCCCCTCTCGATCCCTAAAAAAAACACCGCGCGCATCGCCGCCCCCCTCGCCGCCCCCTCTCCGTATATACGTTTTTTTTGTTAATTATCAAATTTTACGGTTTTTTGTTAATTATCAAGTTTTAAGTTATTTTATCGTTTTTGTTAAACTAATTAACTAGTTAAAATTAAAAAGAACAAAAAAAGAAGAAAAAAGAAAAAATTCTCTCTCTCTCTCCACGATCTCGCTCTCTGTAGAGAGGCACGCGCGTGCGCGCACGGCAGCGAGGCCGGCCGGCGGTGTTGAGGGCGGGCGAGAGGCGGCGCGGTGGGCGAGGGAGGCCGGCGGGCGGCGTACGAGGGCGAGAGGGGGCGGCGGGCGCCGTACGTGGGCGAGAGGGGGCGGCGGGCGACGGCGGGCGGCGTCGAGGGCGAGGGCGACGGCGGCAGGCCTTCGGCGCGGCAGAGAAGACGAGAAATGGAGGCGACGGTTCGGGCCCTTGTATTTATAGCCCCCCCCTTTAGTCGCGGTTGGGGAGGCGACCC